AATACAATTACGCAGGATGAAATTAAAAGACTAATAAGGAGTATGCCTGATCGTATGAATGAGGTAATACGCGCACGAGGCAGTCATACCCACTATTAGTACACACACACCACACACACAGCAGAGAGGGTTTGGAGACATTAATTACTGCAGGAGTGACGAACTGCGGGGTCCTTATCTCTGCTGTAACACCACACACACACACACACACACACACACACACACACACACACACCACAAGGAGGGTGTGAAATCTTGAAATACTGTGGAGCTGACGAACCACGGGATCCTTATCCTTGTGGTATACAAACACACATACACACACACACACACTACATATAATGGGACTTTTCCTACCAGTAAAACTCCATGCGGTTTATATTGGGAAGACTTACAACCATAATTTGAGCTAATGACAGCGGTATCTTAAAACGCAATTCATCTTTATTACGTAATATCGATTACGCAAAATGAAGAACCTAAATTGAATTTTACTTTCATTTCCCTGGCTTTCAAAATAATAAATGCAAATCATTGAATATATTGTGCAGGTTATGTAAATTATTATATAGAGAATTATGAACACAGCTATTGAAATTATGAAAGAGCCAAACGAGCCGCAGAGCCTCTTAGCCCCTTAAGCCTCGCTGAATCGACATTTATTGCAAATTCAAATTGAATATCTCGACACCTAAATATCCCAGCAGCAAATTTCAAAAACGGTTTGAAAGCTTTGAAACCGTACTTCTCGAAGGATCTATCGAAATTGTGCGCAACGATATTTTTTCAAAATGGCGGGTGATAAAAAGGAGAACATGAAAAGTTGCTAAAAAAAGGTTCGAGCGTGCGACGGCGCATGGAACAAAGTAAGTGTCGCAGCTCAATGGGACGAAAAGTACCTAAAAGTATAGAATGTTTTCTTTAAAATACTTCGTTATATAGCTTGATGCGATACTTATTCACTGAATTATGCAAATTTAACAAGAAAACCGCATTTTTAGCAAAATTTGGAACAACTCAGTGAAAAATGATCACATCGAGCTCGGTAAAGTAGCATTTTAAAGATAACACTCTATACTTTCATGTGCATTTGGTCCCATTACGCTGCGATACCTGATGCACACCATGCGCCATCGCAAACACGGACCTTTGATTATCAATTTTGCATCCTCTCACTTTATCACCCGCCATTTTGAAAAAAATGGCCGAGCATAATTGCCATTCAGATATTCTTAAAGAGGACGTTTCAAGCTTCATTTTGCATTTCTGCGCATATTTGTATCTTCATTATTTACCAAGTTATGATCATTTGAAATTTTGTAATTTTTTCCCAAATTTTTAGTGTACCGGGTTTTTTGCGTTTGAGTGTATAAATTTGAGGCTATAAACTTTTGCTATTACGAATTGCTATAAACTCGAGATGACCTCGGGAAAAACCCAGTCAAGATGAATATAAAAATCTTAAATGAAATCTCGAATTTTTTATTACATCGTCTTTTTCCACCAATTAATTTGAACAACTTTTCTACTAAAATATTTTCTTATTTGCCTAATATTTTTTCAGATATTTGAGGAAAACTTGGTAACTTTTTCTCATATTTAACTTACGATATCTCGCTATTTGTCGGAAGAAAAAGTAGTACTAGACTTTTTTGCTCTGTTTAGTCTCAAGAATATATTCTTACAACAGCGCCCTGACTTTTGTTATCTTTCTGACTTTTGGAAATTTCAGTCATCAAATTAACAAAAATCAGGGCGCTATTGTAACAATATATATTCTTGAGACTAAATAAAGCAAGAAAGTCTAGTACCACTTTTTCTTCTGACAAATAGTCAGCGAAATATCGTAAGTTAAATATGAGAAAAAGTTATCAAGTTTTCCTTCGATATCTAGAAAAATATTAGCTAAATGGAAAAATGTTTTAGACAAAAGTTGTTCAAATTAATTGGTAGAAAAAACTGTAATAAAAAATATGGATTACCATCTAAAAAACGCAAGTTGACCTGCAAATGATCTTTAAAGTCATGGCCGAGGTCAAATTCAAGATCACCATCAAGTCCGTTACTCGATTTTCTACCACATTTGTATTTAAAATTTTTCATAAAAACTTAATCCTGCAAAGTTATCCGGAGGAGGTTTCGGTATCTTTAAGACACTTTGTATAACGATGGAAACGGAGTCGGCACATCTAACGAACAGCCGTTGCGCCAGATCAAAGGCGATTCGGAAAACATTTAACAATAGGTAACAGTGCACTAAATTGTGAAAATCTACAGTCTTTGTCCAGTCTTAGTAGTCTTTGTTCAGAGTTTATGTATGGGAAAGTTTCGCCAAATGTGTGTCCTTCGTTCTAGTTATAAAATTGGAAACTGCAGTAATAACCCGTTACTATTTTTTTCACCGGTCATAAAATTTTATCTCAACCTATGCTTTACGACATCCTAAATCTTCCGGTTGATAAATAAAATATATTGTTCACATTTGTACATATCTCTCTACTTTTTATCTTATTTCGCGATTGTTAAATTAGTATTTCCGAGCACTATGCATTTCAATAGAAAAGTAACAGATGCTGGCCAAAATCTGAAAATATTCGTTATTCCAAAACGCTTTTGATGTATCTCTGAATACGTTTACGAATATTCTGCAGAGTACCGAGCATTATTATTATTGTGTAACGGATTGAATAATTATATAACATTAATAATGCCCGACATTCTTCACAATATCTTTGAATGTAGTACTCAGAAATATGGCAAACATATTTCAAATGCACGAAAACTCGACGATTTCATGCAAAACTCATTTATTTACTCATTTATTTATTTACCACTCATACAAGATTCCTATAATTGTCAAGAGAAACCACTGTAATATTCCTAGCAAATACAATATTATATGTAACGTGCATGTTAGTTGTAATTTCCTACTCAACAATATAACTGTTATATAACACATATGTAACAATTATATTGTTGAGTAATTAAAACTAACATGCACGTTATATGTAATATTGTGTGTGTTGCTGGGTTGTTTAGGTTTAGGTTTAGGTTTAGGTACCGGTTTAGATATCGATGGCACACACTGCGTATATCAACTGATTATTTCCTAATCTGAAAAAAGGCGGCACAAATAGTGACACTGAACAATACCTCGTGAACAGTCCCTCATAACAGATTCACTCGTCGTAGCATCATTCAATCCGCAACGTTCGCAACATCCACATCATCAAGCCGTGCATCATGAATCATAAAAGTTCCACCAGTGCTATCATCGCTCTGCCCGAAGTGGACAATTTGGAACCCAACAAAAACCAATGGGAGAATTATCATTGCGCCGTGGAGCATCGAACTATAGAGGACCGCCTGGACATTAGGATTTCATATGCCGTAAAATTGGATCTGTTTGTACCATTGTTAATAGAGCAAGAAATCTCCCGCTGGCTGACTGTCTTCATCAGCTCATCAGGGGGGTATTATCGGACGGTGAAAGACTGTCTCTTCCAAGTAGTGCGCTACGTTCGGAAATTATATACGTCGGACATTGTGACACATATGATTAGTGTGTTTGTGCTAAACAATTTTCATATATTAATAACAAAGTGCCACGGACATATATTAAAATGTGTCTCTCTTGAATAATGCGTTAACAGCGAGCGTGCATCACCGACACGACGGTGAGTGCGGCTCATTATACGAGGGTAGTAATTGTGACCACGGATCATATGTAATGAACTATTGCCCTCAACAGAGACCCTGTAATTTGTGCGCACTTGAATTGGAATCGTTTGATTTAAATTATAATTTCGTCACCGATAGCACTGAAATAGTGAATTCTCGAAGGACAACACAACAGCGGATGCTAGAAATGCACTGGCTCTCTCATCACGACGTCAAGGAAGTTGATACTGTCAAGAATGATGCCCCGTCGAGATTGTAGTAGGGAAAGAGCCGAGCGTCGACAACGACATAAGTATAATTCAATGTATTATCTTATTTTACACATTACAGAACATGAAAAATAGGAGGGTCGTCGATTGCTCGCAAAGATCCATTTGCGATCCTCCGTGCGGCGCAAGGATTCAAATAAACTGGATCTTATTTTTTTGCCATGCAGCTCTCATTTACGAGCGTATAACCAGGCCGCGTTGCCGTGGACGCCCCGCCCCCGCTGCCGCCGCCGCGGCCGCCGCGGCCACCGCCTACACCCCGTTACCATCGACGTCCCAGCGCCGCCGCTGCCGCGGACGCCCCTCCGTCGCAGACGCCGCCGCTGCCGCTGCTGCTACTGATGCTGTTACTGGTGCTGCTGGTGACGCTGCTGCTCTTGTTGCTACTAATACTGCTGCTGTTGCAAGTTCTGCTAGTGAATAAAAAAAAGAAATATATCTTTGGTTATATAACATACCCAGCAAACACGGATATATAACTGTAATATTATCTTAATAAAATGAAATGTAACATGCAACATAACATGCATTAGAAAAATTATATATCATTTTGTAATTTTCTTAATATTTACTCCGTAATTAATGAAAATATATAAGCAAATGAGTACATAGGAAGCGGTAGAATAAGCTCTGTGTAAAAAAATGGCTTATTTCTTAGTAACGATAAGTAACAGTTGATTTTTCGGTGCGCGACCGTGTTATATACTGTATGTCATTCCGTCTCCAAATCAACTGTTACTCATCATTACTAAGAGGTAAGCCAATTTTTGTACACATAGAGTCCATTCCATATAAATATATATTCATATAAGATCACGATATTTGTAATTATCGTTATTTACATGTAAACGAAAGGTGAGAAATGAAATATATGCGGACATATTGACTTGTATATTCTATATAATTTCTATATAAATATTTTACAACTATAGGTACTATTCTGAATTTTGAAATTTTGACTATAAATTCATAATCAGCAATTCTAAAAACCTTTAGTAAGACGTGAATTAGACACAGATTATTTCTAGAAAAAAGTCAGACACGAAAGGGTTAAGTCACATTGCATAAGTTTTTATGTTATGACTACGAAAGAAATATTAGTATACAAAATTATTCAGAATTCTTATTTTTACTTTTCACTACATGAAACGAGCTAACACGCGCACGGTAATCGTTACATACTACAAGAACTTACGAGAAAAGATTACAAAAAAAGTATCAAAACTTGCGACCAATTTTTCACGCGTCAAGAGAATACTTAGAAGGAAAGATCTCTTTTTTATTTCTTCGCGAGAAGTTCACGACATCGCGTTCTAAATTAACGTTCGCTCAAATATTTTCAGCAGAGTCCCGTCTTTTCGGGACTGACGACTATACGGTCCGCCGGCGGAGATGTTGCGCAAACAGTGCGACGCCTAGCGATTTGAAACCAGCATACGCCAAAAACTATTCCTATGGGCGACCCAACCAGATACACGCAAATCGTCTTCCACAGTTTCGATAAGGACGGTGACGATCGCTTCAGCGATCTTCGTCTTTTACAGCATCGATCGTGAACGGCATGGTCGATCAGCTCTCTTGGATATTTGGATGAGCAGTAATCGCTGTTAGTAACGGACTGTCTGATTCCAGGTTCATTTTCGAGCGCAACCTGAAAGATTTTTATTTCGTGTCAGTTAAGAAGTTCGGTTTCATTTTCTGTAACTTCTTCGGGCACAGACTGACCACTTTGTACTTTACCTTTTTCTTGCTGTTTAATGATGGCTGTGCAGAGAAAATTTATATATATAATCATTTTTCCTCGGAATAATGTTCAAAGTTAAAAAGTGATATTTAAAAATGTTAATATTAGTCGCAATAGAAATTTTACTTGATTATTGGATATTTATTAAATATTTGATCACTGATACTATTGAAGTCAATAATCTCGAAGGTCATAACATGCGAAATACTCTCTGGACCTACTTTTCATTAGATTCTACGATTTTTATGGAGACGGTTGCATCACGAAGCGAGAAATATTGGTCATAATATCCGCGATTTATGAGATGGTGCAGGACGCGCAGACCATCCAGCCCGCAGTTAACATCCAAGTGGACAAGTTCTTCAAGGAGATGGACACAGACAGAGACGGAATAGTCACCAGAGAGGAATTCATAAGCGGTTGTAAAAATGTACGAGCAATTAATTTCCATAGCGTCTCGCGATGCGACATCGTTATTTTAGTGATAATGAATAGTAGAAACGTGTATACATTTTGAAATTTAATAAATATTTTATCTTCTTACAGGATACCATTATATACAACCAGTTGAGTTTATTTAATAAGATTTGGTGACTGAATAAAAACGTCCTTCAGAGATTAACGAGCAATTTATCCACACACGCGTAAAGCCATTAAAATACTTGTAAAAACTCACCCGATTTCTCCTCTTAAATAGTACATACATTCTTTATGTCATTTATCGTGAGAGTTCCTGCGCAATATGTTACAATCGCAATATCATCGTAAATGATCAATCCATTTCATTAATATCACATACAAAGGGCTTTCAGAACAGTCTCTTTTGTGAAATGTAAAACACGCAGGCGAAGAAGAACGCGAAGGCCAATGCAAGTAATACTTCATCAGTGACTTCGCATTTACCATATTTTCCTAAGAGCTTTCCCGATTGCACTATCACTTGCTCTTGATGTTCCAGCTCGTTTCTCGTGTTATCAACCTTGTCAGAGGATGTTACTGAAACAACAGCAAAATCGGTAGAATCGTAATAATTATTCTTAAACAGACAATATATAGTGAGACGATAATAATAAATAATAATTTATCTAACAAAGAGAGAAATTACATGGTGCAGAAGTAATCCTTGCGGCGGTAACGCTTTTTTCAAATGATTCTCAAGATTTGAAGGTCATCTTTGTTTTTTTTAATGGAATGCTGTTTCTGAGTTTATTTTTCGATAACAGTTATTAAAAGAAATACAATCACCTATAATAAAGAATGATTCAAAATCAGTTATGATACAAAAAAACATTTTAATAAATTTTATTACATTTTTAATTAAAACATTTTATTTAAAAATAACTTAGGAAAAAATGATAAAGGATTTAGATTTTAAAGCTTAGTTTACTTAGAAAATAAAACTTTACTGCTATAAGACAATTGTTTCAGTACCATGTATTTTCTGTTAAATATTTTTCTATTCTCACATCTCATATGTTCAAGAATTCAAGATAGGATAATAGCTGCTTCATTCTGCATGATAGATATCTAATAAATTCAATATTTTTATGAAATAATTCAAAAATATAGTACGTACACAATATGTCCAATATATATGAGCACTTCTCTGAGTTGTCTCAGCTAGATGCCTTACGATGCTGAATAATTTGTCTGTGATTTGGCTAGAAGAATCTATCAAACTCTATTTGTCTCGTCGTTTACGAAGAGCATTTTGCCACTCCTCTGGCAAGAAGAGCAGATTCTCCCTAGCTAATTTATCTATGACACAAGTGCTAACGACATTAGCCTTGCGAAAGACCACCAAGAACATATTTAATTGCTCCTTATAGCTCTCAACGATGGACAACAACTCAGTTTTCTTCTTCTCATTTGGTTCGGTTTCAGCAACAGATGCTAATCGCTCTATGGAGGATTCTAACACCGCAATTTTGGTCGTACCTTCGGTATTGAATTCGTCTAATGCTTTCAACAGCCCAGTGCATTGTTATATGTCCTTAACAGAAAATACATGGTGATTTGTTATTTGGCTTATCAGAATATAATTCCTAACATATTATTTATTATTGTAAATATGATCCTACTATTTATTATTGTAAAACATGATGTTAATTTTCTCTTCTTCTTTCCTTCTTTTTCCAGAATTGATGTTAATTTAAAGTTGAGATTGAGGTTATATCTCATAGTTTATGAGATAGAATTACACATATATATATATATATTTACTTGTATTAAAGCGTTCACTTGAAGATGATCCTTCACAATATCCTGACATATCAGTTCCAGCCATCAACACTTGATGTCAACTCTTGCGCGGAATTTGTTCGCTCAGGTTTGGCTATCTGGGTATAATGTTACCTGAAAGAATCTGCTGTGGCTAATCTTCACAATGCTGATAAAAATTGTTTATGTGTGGATCAATCATTGGTGTTCCGACTCTTTCTCTATGTAAATTTGGCTCAATGATGGATAAAATGTGGTCAAATGTTGCAGGAGATATTCTAAATCATGCATTAATTAATTATTATGTTACATCTTTAAGTAAGTCAACTAATATGTTTGATATTACTGTTCATATTGCAATACCTAAAATGAGCCTTAAATTGCTGGTCACTAAAGTGCTGGCACTTTAGCTGAACATAATTCTCCAATCTGGGCACGTTTTTACGTTTTCTTATACACCTTGTAATTGATTCTAATTCTTTATCGCTATCGGAAGACGATGATGTTTCTAATAAATCACGCACTGTATGTGTCAAAATAGCTAACACTGCGTTTCTTTTATTTTGCCCCATTCTCTTTTCATATTACTGCTAAAATACTACCGACTTATGCCATGTTCCACAATTCACCGCCAGTACTGAAAATATATAGTTTGTGTCACGTAAACTATAACTTTTCAGTGCTGGCGGTGAATTTTGGAACACGGCATTATTAGCTCTCTGAACAGAGTTTGTAGTATTTGGTAGCGTTAGCGTTTGCAGTGCTCTCCCCGAACGCACCCTATATGTGACATGCATGCGTGATATCCAATGAGTTTCTTCGACACGCAACGCTCATTGAATATCACGCGTTGCACCTCGCGTATCGCGTCGTTCGTCTGCGATCTGCGAGAACGCAAGTTACACGACATTTTGTCGAAAACTAGATGGGAAAATGCTGGTACGAACGAAAACCCCCTGGACAACACAATTTTAATTTCTGCGAATTAGTAAAACCAGCGGCACACGGTGCTTGTTTTCGTGCTGGATTGCTTGCTGGATGAAAATACTGCGTTCTGATTGGTGCATTTTCATCCATCTTCGGAAATGTACCAATCGCGAACGCAGTATTTTCATCCAGCAAGCAATCCAGCACAAAAACAAGCACCGCTATGCCGCTGGTTTAGAGCTTAGGCTGCGTTCCAATATTCACTGCTAGCACTGAAAATCTACAAAATATACGCGACACAAACCATATATTTTCAGTACTGGCAGTGAATTTTGGAACACAGCCTTAGATTCCATATATGCGGTAGAGCTCCGACAAATGCTGCAATGACCAATCAGGAAACAGGTGCAGGTCCTGCTGCGGCTCCGGCATGCGCCAGTCTTCAGATTGGTCACTGCAGCATTTGCCGGAGTTCTACAGCATACATGCGTTATGCAGAAGTCTGTGCTCTGGCCCTAAAGTGTCGTCTACAATGGCAGAAAATAGTAAGACGTAAGAGTAAGCGGTAAGAAATAGGGCCAGAGCACAATCGATTATGACAAAAATAATTAACTGTGGTTGATTCATTTCTTAAGCGTCGTCTACAATGGCAGTAAGCAGTAAGAAGTAAGCGTAAGCGGTAAGAAATAAACCAATCACAGTTGATTATTTTTGTCATAATCGACTGTGATTGGTTTATTTCTTACCGCTTACGCTTACTTCTTACTGCTTACTGCCATTGTAGACGACGCTTTAGGGCTAGAGCACAGACTTCTTACTGCTTACTGTCATTGTAGACGACGCTTAAGTTTTACACTGCTGGAGTAGTAAACTGAAAAAGTAAATAAAACGTACATGTGTAAATATATTGTGATGTGATGTGTAGTTAAAATGAAAATAAATAAAAGTCAAATAATAACAAGGTGAAAAAACTTATATGATATAAATAAAAAAGAAATATGGATAAATTATCCTTATAAAAAATTAATACTGATTCTATAATAAATCGGCGAGTGACAAATTACTGTTGCTTTGTAATTTTATGACTTTTGTAAAAATAAAATAAAAGTACTGAGCAACAATAATCACTCACTAATATATCACAGCCAGAGAGAGAGAGTATATATTTTCTAGGAAGATATTATTATATAAATAAACAAAAGCGAATTCTCAGTTTTGTGTCGTGCCTAGATAAATATAACTCAATTTGTTGAGGTTTCATTCTTCAAATTGGAATTTGTCATCGCCAACTGGAAAATAAAACCCGTAGGAGACGATGGAAGCATGCAAAGGAGAGGATAGAAAGAAGTAAAATGAAGGATGGACAAGTGTCAGATAAGTAGCTAATATTCTAAACCTGTACCAATGTATATTATTTATGTCTTAAAGGCTCGTCTATAATAGCTATAAGAGTAAGGCTGTAAGGCTGTAATGTAAGCCGTCAGCGAATGAAAATATTTCATTTAGTGTCTTGCAACCTTACAGCCTTACTCTTACAGCTAATGTAGACGAGCCTTTAAGCGTACATCTACAATGGCAGTAAGCAGTAATAAGTAAGCGTAAGCGATAAGAAATAAACTAATCACAGTCGATTATGACAAAAATAATCAATTGTGGTTGGTCCATTTCTTACTGTTCACGCTTACTTCTTACTGCTCACTGCCATTGTAGACGATGCTTTAAAGATGCATGAATATGCAATACAAAGTATATATTTTTGCAGGAAGATATTATTATATGAATGAACAAAAGTGAATTCTCAGTTTTGTGTCATGCCTAGATAAATATAACTCAATTTGTTGCGGTTTCATTCTTCGAATTGGAATTTGTCATCGCCAACTGGAAAATAAAACCTCTAGGAGACGATGGAAGCATGCAAAGGAGAGGATAGAAAGAAGTAAAATGAAGGATGGACAAGTGTCAGATAAGTAGCTAATATTCTAAACCTGTACCAATGTATATTATTTATGTCTTAAAGATGCATGAATATGCAATACAAAGTATATATTTTTCCAGGAAGATATTATATAAATGAACAAAAGTGAATTCTCAGTTTTGTGTCATGCCTAGATAAATATAACTCAATTTGTTGCGGATTCATTCTTCGAATTGGAATTTGTCATCGCCAATTGCAAAATAAAACCTGTAGGAGACGATGGAAGCACGCAAAGAAGACGATAGAAAGAAGTAAAATGAAGGATGGACAAGTGTCAGATAAGTAGCTAATATTCTAAACCTGTACCAATGTATATTATTTATGTCTTAAAGATGCATGAATATGAAATACAAACATATTATGCTATCTACGCTAGCATTATAATTTTAGATATTGGATCAATTCTTTTCTCCGATTAATGTTTTTGTTTCAGCTTTGAGAGATACGTTTGTTGAAATGTTCCAAAGGATTAATTCATAACAGAAATAATCCAGCCAAAGACGAAAATGATGATTGATCCAGCCAGCAAAAGGAAATCTGATGATTGATCCGTCCAGCGAAGGCAGAATCTTTGCCAATATCTTAATACCACAACAAATCTGATTGTAAGTACTGTAAGAAAAGGCGAAACAATTATTACAGTTAAGAAAATAAATCAAGGAATCTTACAAGCCTTTGGTGTTATACATGTTACATGTGCATGCATATTACGCTTGTTATATGAGTATATTATTTCAGATTAGGTTCGATATACGTAAAAGATATATTGCAGATACATAGATGCATATTGGGCCACATCGATCCTATTGAATTGTTATCACTTTTGTAGGACGCAGACTGGGATGTGATTGAACAGCGAACAAGCCATCAGGTTGCATCCACCAGTTAAGTGAGTACATTTCTTTTTCTTCCGTTCCACTGATATATTTCTCACGAGTACTGATCTCTGAAAATCATTTTTCATAGATATGCGGTTGTCGCACAAGTTGGTACATCCGAAGGAAAGCTCCCATATAAGTGACTTGTTACGTCAAGCCGCTGACCGACTGCGAAAATCAAGAAGTGTATGAAGAAGGAACCAGAAAGCTGTGTGTACGATATATTTTGATATATCGTAGATTTATAAACATATCCGCCCGATTCGTTGAAACGTTACTTAAATTAATATCTTGTTATGCTCTTTAAAAGTTATCAATTAATTTTAACGCGAGCCCGTAAATACGAATCATTGATATTGCTCTATATGGTAGACTTTAATTTATAATATTCAATTTATAATTTTTAAGTGTGCATGTATACGCAAAAGCCTTTGATATTATAGAATAATGGGATAATAAAATATTAAAATAAGATTAAAATATATTAAAATATATTTATTGATTTCTTTCTTTGTTCCCAACGAACTGACTCAACTTACTTAAAATTAATAACGAATCAACATTTTGCACATTTTTTCTATTTCACGCTAAATAGTCTTTAAAGCAATTTTTTCTCTGACTTTCGTTAATTTGATGATTTTGAGATTTCCGAAAGTCAGTAAGTTAATAAAAGTCAGGGCGCTGTTGTAACAACATATTCTTGAGATTAAATAGAGCAAAAAAGTTTAATATCAATTTTTCTTCCGACAAATAGGTAGCGAGATATCGCAAATAAAATATTGAAAAAGTTGTCAAGTTTTTCTTCAAATGTGTCAAAAAATATTAGGCAAATAAAAAAATGTTTCAGACAAAAGTTGTTCAAATTAATTAGTAGAAAAAGGCGGTGTAATAAAAAATTGGGGTTTCTGTTTAAGAAAAGTATTGTTCAGTGAATATTACGAAAGTGGTGCCATTGTAAACAAAATGATATAGCTATTTTACATCTCCCTTGAAATCATATAACTTTTGTTCGACATTTTTTCTAAAACGCTTGGTTTTCGAGATATTTTACCGGTCCGGGACTTTTTCCTCACCTTGTGTATATATATATAGGGTGGACCATTTTAACCTTTAATGGAGAATAACTCGACCGGTGAGCGAAATAATGAAAAAAGTTTCATACAAAAGTTGTTGGACAAGGAAGGGGACGTATGACCATATCCTTGAATTTGACCTTGACTTTGACCTTAGGGGTTATTTGAAGGTCAAATAACATTTTTTAAATGGAATTGCCTATTTTCGACCCTGGATGTGGAAAGAGCGGGAAATTTTAGAATAGGATATGGTATGATCGATAAGATCAAATGTCACGTTTTGAGGTCATTTCAAAGTCAAAAGGAACTTGTACGTGTATTCATGCGAAAATCGTATCTGTATACGGGGATTTCTAAATTATCTTCTACACTTAGCATTATCCAGAGACAACGACGTGGACGTGGTAGAATTCTGCCTCTTTCGGGGTGCTTGTTTAGAGTGAATCCCCTTGCCTCTCACTATGCATACTTTGCTATTGTTAATCTAGCTATTCAAAAGGTTTTCGAAAGTTGCACCGTTAGCATTTATGCAATAATTGAGCCTTCTTTGGAAATGGGCCACTGTGCTGAGCAAGACATTTTGTGGAATCGCTTCACAAGCTCGTCTTATGCGATTTTCCATATCTTCTCTTGTTGTTGGTTCTTCTTTGAAAACAACTTCTTTCAAATAGCCCCAGAGATAAAAATCGAGTGACGTCAAATCAGGAGAACGAGGAGGCCATGCAATCGGACCCTCTCGACCAATCCATCGGTTCGGGTACCTTTCATCTAAAAACCTCCTGACTATACGTGCAAAGTGCGGTGGTGCACCATCCTGTTGGAAGAACATCCTTCGCCTGGTTTCCAAGTCTACGTTCTCCAACAAATGAGGCAATTGGTCTGTGAGTAAATCGAGGTACGTATTTGCATTCACAGTACGTTCGAAAAAGAATGGACCGACCAAGTATCCATTAACAATCCCGCACCAGACATTGAGGCTCCAGCGGTGTTGATTGTCAATCGCTCTATGCCAGTGCGGATTGGTATCGGACCAATAATGGCAATTATGCCGGTTCAACTCCCTTGTGTTCTTAAACATCGTTTCATCGGAAAACATCACAAATCTAAAAAAATTAGGGTCCCGATCGATCTGCTGTAAGGCCCACCGGCAGAATTCGAGGCGTCGATCAAAATCGGCAGGTAATAATGTTTGGGTCAAAGTGATATGATAAGCATGGTACTTCCGAGCCTTCAAAATCCGCAAGATTGTGGACTTCGATATTCCTGTGGATACCTCCAGTCTACGGCTCGAAATATGAGGATCGAGATAGACCGATGCCAAAATAGTCAGCACTCGAACGTCATTCTCGTCATATTCGTGATGACGACGCTGACATGTCATTTGCCCAGTACGTGCCCTCATGGTCAAATTTCTGATCGTCACGTTACACGGATGTCGTCTCCTCGGAAAGCGCTGAGCGTAAAGTGCTGCGGCATTCACATAGACACCTCGACATTCTCCTAAAATATAAATCATATCAACGATCTCATTGAGTGTACAATCTCCCATTTTAATCACACTAGATCTCTGCTTATTAATACTAAGAGACAAGCTGCATGATAATAATTGAGTTTTATCTCAATGAACAATATTTATTATACTAGCTTTATAATAATTATTGTTATAATTATTATTATCAATATTATTTTTGGGCGGATAATGATAATAATAACAATGATAACACTATTTTGTATTCTCAGCGAATAATTCCTTACGAGTGAAAAATGTGAGCATTACTCGGAAGCGACGTGGACATATTGTCTTTCTCTGCGTGCTCCTACCGGCCACATGTGAATGCCGCAGCACTTTACGCTCAGCGCTTTCCGAGGAGACGACATCCGTGTAACGTGACGATCAGAAATTTGATCACGAGGGCACGTACTGGGCAAATGACATGTCAACGTCGTCATCACGAATATGACGAGAATGACGTTCGAGTGCTGATTATTTTGGCATCGGTCTATCTCGATCCTCATATTTCGAGCCGTAGACTGGAGGTATCTACAGGAATACCGAAGTCCACAATCTTGCGGATTTTGAAGGCTCGGAAGTACCATGCTTATCATATCACTTTGACCCAAACATTATTACCTGCAGATTTTGATCGACGCCTCGAGTTCTGCCGGTGGGCCTTACAGCAGATCGATCGGGACCCTAATTTTTTTAGATTTGTGATGTTTTCCGATGAAGCGACGTTCAAGAACACAGGGGAGTTGAACCGGCATAATTGCCATTATTGGTCCGATACCAATCCGCACTGGCATAGAGCGATTGACAATCAACACCCCTGGAGCCTCAATGTCTGGTGCGGGATTGTTAATGGATACTTGGTCGGTCCATTCTTTTTCGAACGTACTGTGAATGCAAATACGTACCTCGATTTGCTCACAGACCAATTGCCTCATTTGTTGGAGAACGTAGACTTGGAAACTAGGCGAAGGATGTTCTTCCAACAGGATGGTGCACCACCGCACTTTGCACGTATAGTCAGGAGGTTTTTAGATGAAAGGTACCCGAACCGATGGATTGGTCGAGAGGATCCGATTGCATGGCCTCCTCGTTCTCCTGATTTGACGTCACTCGATTTTTATCTCTGTGGCTATTTGAAAGAAGTTGTTTCGAAGAAGAACCAACAACAAGAGAAGATATGGAAAATCGCATAAGACGAGCTTGTGAAGCGATTCCACAAAATGTCTTGCTCAGCACAGTGGCCCATTTCCAAAGAAGGCTCAATTATTGCATAAATGCTAACGGTGCAACTTTCGAAAACCTTTTGAATAGCTAGATTAACAATAGCAAAGTATGCATAGTGAGAGGCAAGGGGACTCACTCTAAACAAGCACCCCGAAAGAGGCAGAATTCTACCACGTCCACGTCGTTGTCTCTGGGTAATGCTAAGTGTAGAAGATAATTTAGAAATCCCCGTATACAGATACGATTTTCGCATGAATACACGTACAAGTTCCTTTTGACTTTGAAATGACCTCAAAACATGACATTTGATCTTATCGATCATACCATATCCTATTCTAACATTTCCCGCTCTTTCCAAATGCGGGGTCGAAAATAGGCAATTCCATTTAAAAAATGTTATTTGACCTTCAAATAACCCCTAAGGTCAAAGTCAAGGTCAAATTCAAGGATATGGTCATACGTCCCCCTCCTTGTCCAACAACTTTTGTATGAAACTTTTTTCATTATTTCGCTCACCGGTCGAGTTATTCTCCATTAAAGGTTAAAATGGTCCACCCTGTATATATATATATATATCGGGTGCCTCAGACCACCCGGGTTACCCGTGTTTTTTAGTAAACGCGACATTTTAGAAAAAAATGTTTCAGATAAAAGTTGTAGCGCTTCAAAGAATCTATTTATCAATGCCATAAATTTGACCTTGGGATGACCTTGGAAAGGCCAGTCAAGATCAACATCAAAATCTTAAATAGAAACTCTAACTTTTTATTACACCATCTTTTTCCACTAATTAATTTGAACAACTCTTATCTGAAATATTTTTATTTGCCTAATATTTTTCGAGATATTCAGGGAAAACTTGATAACTTCTTCAGCTTCACGCTCCCGTATAAATGGCCGCCCTGTGCTCCCGTATAAATGGCCGCCCTGCGCTCCCGTATAAATGGCTGCCCTGCGCTCCCGTATAAACGGCCGGCCTACGCTACCATTCGCAGCCTCCTTTCACGTTAATAACTTTTTTCAATATTTAACTCGCGATATCTCGCTAACTATTTGCCAGAAGAAAAAGTGGTACTAGACTTTCCTGCTCTATTTAGTCTCAAGAATATATTTTTATAATAGCGCCCTGACTTTTGATTAATTTGATGAATTTTGAAATTTCCAAAGGTCCATAAGTTATCCTGAAATATCTCAAAAAATATTAGGCAAATGAAAAAATGTTTTAGACAAAAGTTGTTCAAATTAATCGGCTGAAAAAGATGGTGTAATAAAATATTGGGATTTCCGTTCAAGATTTTTATGTTGATTTCGACCGGAACCTTTTCAAGGTCATCCTAAGGTCAAATTTATAGCATCAATAAATAGATTCTTCAAAGCCCTACAACTTTTGTCTGAAATGTTTTTCTCTAAAATGTAGCGTTTACGAAAAAATTAGGTGACTCGGCTAGTTTGAAACATCCCATATATAACATTGAATCATCAAGCATGAAATAATA